AAGGATCTATTAATTCATCGAGTTGTTCCAAAGGATCAAAACGGCCAGTTATTAATGGAATTCCTTGTCGGCTCTCTGTGAAATATTCGTTTGGCCGAGGGCTTCCAAACACATCGTAAGCTAAACCCGTGCTGACGAATAACCAACCCGCAATGAATAAGGAAGGTATAGTAATGCTATGAATGACCCAGTATCGAATACTGGTAATAATATCAGCAAAAGAGCGTTCTCCTGTACTTCCAGACATGCTGAGCTCCACATATTCTTGTACAGTCAAAGGGGGATCGATTCCGTAAAAGATGAGATCAGTAAATGGAAATTCACTGAAATCGAATCTTTGTGAGATCGTCAATATTGTACCGAGGGCGTCTTTAGAGTCTACCGAATCAGTATAGCTATCCTTCTTCTGACGCAGCAACGCAATTTCAATCAGTATCGAAAGCAAGTGCTAGATAATTTCTTTCTTTCTTTACTTGTTGCTTGGCGATGTAGAATGATGCCCCATTCAATAGAAAATTCTTCAAAATAGTATATTTCTCTCCATTATGGGCTTCGGGTTAGAAACTGAAAATCGGGATAAAATGCGAATTTGGCAAGTTGGTTTCTAATAATTTATGAAGGAGATTATCATATTCCCACAATTTAAGTAGATGCAAGATCTAGAAATCTCCCTTTCGTAGTTGTCGAAGCGGTTTTTTTGTTGGAATCTTTTTTTCCATTTTAAGGAATTGGTTAGTTGTCGAATAACAAGTAACAGTAGTAGATAGTTTTCGATGAAAGAAAGAGAACAAAGAATAAAATAATTGTAATTAGTATTCGTGATGCATTGTTGTATTAGATCGAGATCCAAAGGTTCGTTCTGGATCTAACTACAAGGATGAGGCTTTATAATATGGAAAGATAGAATGTCGAACCTATAGAAGAAAAGATAATAGGAATTACTAGTCTTAGAATCTAGTTGGACCAAAATAAAGATTTTATTTTTTTGAGCGATCGTGTGATCATTTTTTTCCTCTCATAAGATATTATGTGAATGAACCTACTACTGAATCTAATGAGTTAAAATGGAAGTAAGGGAAAAAGTTTATAAGGTCGCGGTTCATTCTAAAATTGAAAATAGATTCAATACAATTCAAAAACGAAAAAAAAAAATGATCAAAATAGAAATGATTTTCCAATTTTATTCCATAGTGATTCAAAAAGAGTTTCATTTTTGAATGAAGTTCCACGACACGGTTCTTATTATTAATAGTTTACCCAAGAGTTGTTCAACGAATCCGTTGGTTGGAATCACGGTATGGGTAGATGTCACAGATGATGAATCAAAAGTTTTCAATTGAACTTTTTGCTTATCCTCTTATCTTGCAAAAACGGAAACTTAGGTAAATGCTTTATAAACATATGTATAAAAAGAACATATTTCATTTAGCTCTTTTATGCCTACTATAACTAGTTATTTCGGTTTTCTACTAGCGGCTTTAACTATAACCTCGGCTCTATTTATGGTCTGAGCAAGATACGACTTATTTGAAATTAATTCAATGAACAATTCATAGTATTCTATAGTTACTTACCGCGTCAATTGTCAATTCTTGGTTATTGAGATTCAGGGCAATTCGGATTAATATTTAGGAATAGATATTACCTCTTTTTTTTTCCTTTCAAACAAATTGAAATGATTGAAGTTTTTCTATTTGGAATCGTGTTAGGTCTAATTCCTATTACTTTGGCTGGATTATTTGTAACTGCATATTTACAATACAGACGTGGTGATCAGTTGGATCTTTGATTAAGTAAAATCTATTTTTTTTGATTGACCTCCTCCTTTCTTTAATCGACAGGAGGTCAAATTTAGATTGCTGTTCAAATTAGTGAAGCTATTTCAGTCTAATTCGATCTAACAAAAATGGAATCACGCTCTGTAGGATTTGAACCTACGACATCGGGTTTTGGAGACCCACGTTCTACCGAACTGAACTAAGAGCGCGTTCGTATCAGAATAGATAAGACTATAAATAAAAAGATGATTTTTGTAACCCCAATATATTTTGTATGCATATACTATATAGTATCATAAAAATGAAAGATTATGTATGTCCAATTTGAATTGATCTCAATTGATCCTTCGTTACTGCTCAAAGTAGAAGTAATAGGTAGGGATGACAGGATTTGAACCCGTGACATTTTGTACCCAAAACAAACGCGCTACCAAGCTGCGCCACATCCCTTCAATTGGTCTACAGTGTCATTGTAGAGAATTCCTGTCTTGTTTTCCACATCGTTATTTCTATTTCCTCCTTGGTTTCATATAACATATAATAATAGTAAAAGTAAAAGACTTATATACATATGAAATATGGAACCCACCGTAAAAGTAAAAATAAATTAATATTTTTCGGAATGCTCAAGAAGAAAGGGACATATTTTTTTCGGTTTTCGTTTTTTAAAAGGGAAAATATTATCTACCGGATCATTGTACATTTCAATTTAAATTAGGGATTCCGTGTACAACTACAAGTGGTCCTTAACTACATATGTATCTGATCATATATGTATTACCATTATGTATTACAATAAAATAAAGAAGGAGGGTTTTCAATGCGAGATCTAAAAACATATCTCTCCGTGGCGCCGGTATTAAGTACTCTATGGTTTGGGGCTTTAGCAGGCCTATTGATAGAGATTAATCGTTTTTTCCCGGATGCGTTGACATTCCCCTTTTTTTCATTCTAGTTATTGACATGGGAAAGAATGACGACAATTAGAGATACAATCAAATATCTGTGACTAACCCCTCTTTTCTCTTTTTTCCCTTTTTTTAGAATAAGGGAGGAAAGAGAAAAAAGAAAAGTGGATTCAACATCTGCGACACTCGGGTTCAAGTTCGAATTAAATTAATAATAGAGGTAGAACGAAAAATGCGGGACTAGGACAAGAGTATTATCCAAGATACTTAAATGAAATACTGTACTTGTACTGTGATTCGAAATATAATTTAGAAATCATTGTATTACTTATTATTACTTTATTGATTGCAGCGAAATCTTTCATTATTTGATTTCTAGTTAGTAACTTCTATTTTTTTTCTTTCTTCTTCTTCGTTTCGGACCGAAAACAGAAGGGTTGATTAAATAAAAAATCCAAAGGGAGGTTCATGGCCAAGGGTAAAGATGTCCGAGTAACGGTAATTTTGGAATGTACCAGTTGTGTCCGAAACGGCGTTAATGTTAATAAGGCATCAACGGGCATTTCCAGATATATTACTCAAAAGAATCGACACAATACGCCTAATCGATTGAATTGCGAAAATTCTGTCCCTATTGTCACAAACATACGATTCATGGGGAGATAAAGAAATAAATCGAACCGAGCATCTGTGTGTCACTCTTCAAAGGAAGGGGAAAAATGACATTATATATTATATATACATAACATATTGAAATATAAACAAACCAAATCCTATTTCTTAATTCTAATTCATTTTAGATCCGACCGAAATAGGATATTCGGGATAAGGAATAAACTAAACAAACCATGGATAAATCCAAGCGACCTTTTCTTAAATCCAAGCGATCTTTTCGTAGGCGTTTGCCCCCGATCCAATCGGGGGATCGAATTGATTATAGAAACATGAGTTTAATTAGTCGATTTATTAGTGAACAAGGAAAAATATTATCTAGACGAGTGAATAGATTAACCTTGAAACAACAACGATTAATTACTATTGCTATAAAACAAGCTCGTATTTTATCTTCGTTACCTTTTCTTAATAATGAGAAACAATTTGAAAGAACCGAGTCGACCGCTAGAACTACCGGTCTTAAAACCAGAAATAAATAGGCTTACTCTTTCTTCAATTGAGTTCAAATTCAATTCCAATCCGAACCTCAAAAGCGGATTGATGTTTTGTTCGAAAAATATGCGAATCCAGATTTGATTGTCGTGTCGTAAGAAAAAAAGAATCGGGAAAAAAGAATAAATCTTTTTTTATTGAACGTGTTCATTCATTTTGACTACTTTATCATATTTTATCATATTCATTTCTACTCTACCTCCCGGAGTTCATTCTCCGGGGAACTCTGTTTAAACTATTCCGGTGAATTCCGCCCAATCTACTTATTTTATGATCTCATTGGAAATCATATAAAGACAATTCCTATTTAATATAGCGACTTGTGCAAGTATTTACGATTAAGAAGCAACTGTCTCTTGTACAGATCGTGTATTAATCTACTATAACTATAAGAGACCCCCCCTTCACGAATTCCTGCGTTTATCCGAGTGATCCACAAACGACGAAAATTTCTCTTTTGCCTATCTCTATCCCTATTAGCCGAAACCAAAGCTTTTATTTTCTGTTGAGTAATAGTTCGAGTAAGTCTTGAATGAGCCCCCCGAAAGCTTGATGCAAATAAACGAATTTTTGTTCTACGTCTCCGAGCTATATATCCTCGCTTAATTCTGGTCATTGAATAATTGAAACTTTGACGAATAACTAATTGATTTCCTTTCTTTCAGTTATTCTTTTCCCCTTCCTAGCCTATTAATAACAAAACGGATTTTTCCAATGTATAAAATAAAAATTCCAATGGCTTTGGCTACTATAACCTTCCCGACCACGATTTTTTCTAGGCATTTCACCTAGAAATAATCAATTGTATTCTCCTAGGTATCAAAAATATAGTAAATAAATAAAGTAGTAAATATAAATGGATAAAGAAATAGTGGGTTCCATCGTTTCTATGGTTACTTCTTAAACGGTGAGGCCTTCTCTATACACCGGAGCCCCTTACTTGATTTAATCAATGTTATTGGTAACTTGTACAGTTCACACTCTTTGGCTCTACCCATGAATTATCCAGTACTA